TATTTCTCGTTTTATCGCAACTAAACGCTAAACCCATCTCTAAATTCGCCGGCTTTTCTCTTTCCTTCCTTTGAATCACGGATTTCTTTACAAAGCTAATGCACAGAAGAACGCTCTCCGTTAAAAGTATCTTTGTTTGCTTGTTGGCTAAATCAGCTCTCAGTTCCGTCTTGTATGAAATATCTTCTTTTAACCACCATTCTAATTCTTAGATGTTGTGAACTAGGACTAAAAGCCAGTCGATAAAATGATTTTGTTAAGCTCCGAGTTTCAATAAAACACATCCACACGAAAACCACTATATGAAGCCTCTCAGTTTAGAGTATCAAATCAAACCAACAAACATAAAATTGACTAGAAAATCAGTTTCTCATCAACAAAACATCAATAACGGGTACCAAAGGCTCTGTTTGTCTTGTCATTTGAGCGAATCCATCCCCTGTGTTTAATCCGCTGCTCGTCTCCCACTTGCTCATCTTCCACTGAAAGACAACATAAAACATAATTAGAACTTTTTCGTTTACATAGTTGAAGATGTAGGAAGATACAAACAGAAAAGCTGTTACACCATTCAACAGAAAAGACAAAGAAACACATTATATTTACCGTGAAAGATGTCGAAGACCTCTTCCTCATAAGGAGATTTCATAAAAGATCTGATGCGATAGCAGTTAATCCACATATCAAGCCTCCACCTTCAACAATAACAGAGGAAAAAAAAGGGATAAGTGATCCAAGAAAGCATGAGCTAAAGACAAAGAGGATAATAATATCAAAGATATTACCTTACGGTAATGGTTATAGCCCAAGTAAAAAACCTTTGAGGACACAACTTTCCTGATTTGATGCTTGCAGCTGCATCCATTTTAAGAGAACGTTGAAGAGAAGATGTTGAAGCTTTTTCGGAATGATTCACCAGCTCACGGAGGAGAGCATCATACATGGCCTCCATGTAGAGCTCTTGACTGACGATAGAACTTACACCTTCATTTTGGCAGTGGAGGATATAACCTAGGAGACTATCGTCCAAAGCAATCAAGAACTTTTTCTCATCATACATGGTGAGACCCAAAAACACGATGTCGCTAGTGGACAGGTCTCGCCTTTTGAGCCTTCCAGCTATTGGAGCTTCAATCTTGTAGTAAGACTCCAGATCAACGAAGTGTCTGTCTTCACGATACGCCCACAGTATAGGACTCCTCATTATTACCTCATAAAACAGAAGTTTCGGCCGCGCCTCAATGCTCATCTGGTATATGTACGGAAGCAATTGATGGTCGTCACTTGGAACAATGTCGCCAAGCTTATCAAAAGGATCCACCATGTACCTTCCTCTTCCCGGTTTCACATGTAGCTCCCAGAAGTCATCCAATACTTCGCTAATTTTTTTCCACAATGCAGCGTTTTTCCCAATTATAAAAAGACTACTCCCCTCTGGTGACCAGAAAAAGAGGTAGGCTGAATTTGCACCACCCAATGCCATAAGAGCCTGTGCTTGCGGAATTTAGTCCCATGGCAACTCCTTGTACGGTACTTCCTGATATCTAATGTGCAAAACTGGCCTCGACTCCATTTCCAGCTTGTAAATAAAATCATCTCCGGTACATGCAAAGAAGCCTTTAACACTCATAGGTGTCACAATATCTTTCGGGAACAGCGTCTTGTATCTCAGTAGGCCATCGTTCATGTCCTTGTAGTCCAAGAAGGTCAAAACACGGCTTGGGGGAGACTTTCCGATAAGTTCCGACCAAAGCTTCACTCGCTCCCCAGAGTACAACCCGATTGCTTTGCCAGCAAGGCTCGGGCGTAGCTGACGATGACCACTCCTTATAATATCCGTAATTCTCAAAAAGTCAAATACGTCTGTTCTTGATCTTCCAGAAATGATTCCTGTACCTAACAAAATAAATAAATTTTGCAGATCAACATCAACCAACAGACTTCAGATTCAATTTTAGTATCTTTGTGATGGTTGAATCTTACACGCACCTTGGCCAATCTCGCTTGAGCGTAGCTGATGATGATCAGTACTTGGTACAATATCAATTTTCGTCGAACGATCACGTGAAGATTCAGAGAGGATACCTAAAACTAAGAATGATCAACCAATAGACTTCACATTCAATCTAAGCATTTTTGTAATGACTGTAATACGTACCTGTAAAAGGCTTTACAGAGATGGCCTCATCTCTACCACGTTTCTGAGATTTGTCACCTCGAAATTCAGAGAGCTTTTGACGAATATTTTCACTACAATTTTTAATAGAAGTTGTTAAACAAGAGATCTCGAAACAACTTTTCCAGATTTTGTATTTTGAGGACGAGAAGAACAGAGAAAGTTTGACATTACAAATAACTTTTCGATGAATTTTGGCAACATGATCCAGTCCCAAAAGAGATAGGCGTTCTCTGGATCCAGCGATTCTTTGACTGACAAGCCCTGAGCATGATTTCTGGGCAACGGAGAGTGAAAAGAATCAAAAAGAAGAATCAAAAAGTTGGAGAGTGATTCTACAAGACTAGAATCGAAAGAACATACCTGAATCGTGAATCGTTGAGAGAGATGAAAGAAAATCCCTGTTTCTAGGAGAGAGGAGAAAAACTAGAGAGAGCGCTAGAAACTGTGCCTCCTTCTGCTTCAGAGTAAGCTCTTAGGCAGTTGCTGAAAGATAATTTGACGTCGTTGACTGCTGCTGACGTGTAATGTTTGTTGCTAACGGCACATGCTCGTTCCAACGTTGTAACCTCCTTTTTCATTTCTCATATTTTTAATTATTTTTTGAATTAACGGATTTTTGTCGTGGTTCATGTATTTTAATTAAAATCGCTAATCATAAATGAAAGATAAATCCTTTCAGTATTCTCGCTATATTATTTAATTGACAAAATAGTGATTTTTTTATTCAATACACTCACTACGATCCAGATCAAAGTAAAATTATAATTTTCATAGTTAACCATGATCAGTTAAAAACGTTGTGATCAGCTTAACAATTATTTTTGTGCTTGCTAAAAAAAAGGTAAACTTGAGATTACTCAAGATTTAAACCGATTACACTAAAAAATTTACAAGGTATTTCTAGTTTGGCGTAAAAATTAATATAGGGAAACATAACAATATTATTTGTGTACACTCAAAAACATATTCTTGAGATCAGGCTGACACTATACAAATAATTTGAAATCACTTTGATTAGTTAATGTTTGATACATTAATACATTATGCACTGATGATGAATCCATTATAATCGAATATTGTTATCAATTTTCAAATTGTTGTAAAACAAAGCTGGAAACAAACAAAAATAATAAATAAAGGCGAAAGAAAATATATACCACGTACGGATGTCCCTGTCTCTTGTTTGTCGCTGCACAAAGAGGTCATTTTCTTAAATTCTGTTTGTTGTTTTTATTTTAAATTCATTTGATTTTCTTTTCTGATAGAGAGAGAGGAGAGAGAGAGAGAGGCGGCTTGTAGCTTGACAAACAAGTTTGCACATGGATTATTATTAATGGTTAAATTCATATTTGTGCTTATTGAAAAAGAAAAAAATCAATTTTAAGTAGTTTATAACCAATGTTTATTTAAACATAACAATTTTTTTTTTAAAAAGTGAAATTATAAAAGATACATTAATACAAGGAATAAGTAATTATAAATAAACCTTTTCAACAAAACAAAAAGTAATTATAAAAATAGAAAGTCAGATATATCATATACATCCCGTACGAGGCAACCATCCCAATGTTTTCACTCAAACAAAATCAAATCAAATCTCTCCCTTTTTTGTCTCACTCTCGCAGGTTTTAAATACAAAAGGAAAAAGCTGTTTCTCTTTCTTCTTTTTATTCTCTACTTTCTCCATCTTCGTTCCCCATGCTCCCTCTCTATTTCTCTGTTGTCCACCATGAGAAAACACAACATGGATGTGATTTATCATTTTCAGTATATATGCATATAAGGAAATTCTAGAAATTTGATTTTCTTACATGGATGTGATATTTCAGAAATGTTTCATAAGACAAGCAGCATCTTCTTAGAGCCTTCTCTTTCCTAACGTTTTCTTGATTGAATTTGTAAGCATTATAAGGTTTGTAAATTAAACAAAAGTACCACTTGCGTTTTCTTTTTAAGTTTTTGGATTTGATAAAGATAAAGCAGTACCAAATCAAATCGATTTTGGAAAAAAAATAAAATTAATTAATATTATATGTTTTTTACTAGTGGATCAGCTTGTAATGGGTCTTTCACATAGGTAATGGATCAAATAATGGGTTGTTAAAGCCCTTTTTTGTTGAACACAGCATTACGGTGGGCCTTAGTCCCACACAATACATGATTGGGCCACTAATGTCACTTATTATGGGCCCAAATAATTGGGTCACTAATGTCACTTGTTTTGTGGCCAATGCAGAAAAAAACTGAAAAAACTTAGTTTACTCTACCGACAAAATGATGTGCTTGCCTTTATCACCACCCATTAAAAGCTTCGACCGACAGTCTTTAATAAAACAACAATAATTTCACAGATATTTACGTGATGTATCTCGGAATCGAAAAAGACAATGCATTTAGCACCACACACAAAATATCGTGATCGACAAGAGAAACATCACACTGGTCACATAATAATAACTGATCACTAAACGTCTTTTCGGCCCTCACAAACAACAACATCAGCTTAAGTTAGTGTATTACATGGTATTTAATCTCACCAATTATAAAATTATAATTTTGTAACTAAACTCGAGAGACTAAAATATTTAGATTTTTTGCTCTCTTTCAGTTTACAAAATGGTCTGACACTGTTACTTTATTGGTTTTAAATCATATGGTGGTAGTGTAGTTTTCAAGACCAAAGAGTTACGCGTCGGTCTACTGTCTAGTGTCTACACATAAATATTGTATTGTTTTTATAACATTAGCCGCAAAATATAAATCTTACAATATGTTTATCTCCCTATTTAATAATGTACTTTAGCTGACCCGTTAATTGATGATCTTAATTAATTCGAAAAAGAATATCCTTGTCGTGGATAATTATCCATTTCCTGTCTATATATACACATATCCATCTCCGAACTCTTGCATCCAACACAAAAATTCACATTCGGCAAAAAAAACAGAAAGAAAATATGAATTTCATCTCCGATCAAGTTAAAAAATTCTCCGACTCGAAACCAGAGGAGCCGGTAACCACCAAGCCCGTCGAAGGAACCGAGACAGCCAATAGACCAGCTTCCTCCGCCGAGCTCATGGCTAGTGCCAAGGTTGTAGCGGAAGCTGCTCAAGCCGCAGCTCGTAACGAATCAGACAAACTCGACAAAGGCAAAGTCGCCGGAGCCAGCGCTGATATCTTAGACGCTGCCGAGAAATACGCAAAGATCGACGGGAAAACCGGCACTGGTCAGTACCTCGACAAGGCCGAGAAGTATCTCAACGACTACGAGTCCTCACACTCCACCGGCACCGGTGCTCCTCCTCCGGCCGCCGGCGCTCCTCCTCCAACCACCGGTGCTCCTCCTCCAGCGAGTCAGGCTGAGCCGGAGGCTAAGAAACCCGATGAAGAATCTGGTGGTGGCTTGGGAGGTTACGCAAAGATGGCTCAAGGTTTCATGAAGTGAAGTCATCTTTAATTACTAGTTTATCGTGTAGTAATAAACTTAAGTAATTAAGTATCGTTTAATTATGTTGCGTAATAACTTGTGACATCATGAATCTATCTGTGTTGTGTTGTGGTTATGTTAAACTTAATGTGGAGTGTGTTAAATCTTTAAACATAAGAAATACTACATTTCAAGAAACAGAGATACACATTCAGTAACTGTACAAATTAAATACATGAATATCAATTACTACTTCATTTCAATTACAGAGCATTATTTATACATTCAATCTAAAATCTGTCCATTAATTTCATAAAACAAGCGCTTAGAGTTATCCATAATCCTCTCAGTCCCACGCAAAATATGATTACAACGTTCATGTCTAGATTCAGGCACAAACTCCATCAGTTCCACCAAAGGATCTGTAATTACAACAGAGCTATCATTAAACTTGTCTCTCCCAGGGACAACATGTTTCTCCCAGAAATCAACAAGCGTTACTCTCATTTCTCCCCAAAACGCAGAATCTCTCTCAATCCTAAACAAACTACTCCCATTAACAGTCCAACAATACAAATCAAACCAATCTCTATCCATAATCTCCATCAATCCCTGAGCTTGCGGAACATAATGCCAAGGAACTTTCTTCCACGGATAAGCGTAAAACGGACATTTCACCTCAAGCACACCTTCTGAGCAAAACCCATCTCTAACAACGTCGATGACTCCATCAGGAGAAGCTCCTAACCAGTTATCTTCTTCTTCTTTCTCTGAAGCTACGAATTCAGGTAAGTGAAGGACGTGTCCTGTTAGTTCGTGGTATCTATTGAGTGCTTCGACTTCTTTGATCTTGGTCCAACACGTGGCTGCGTTGCCTGAAAATGGCTCTGACGCTCCGATTTTCTCTAGCCAGAGTTGGACTCTACGGTTAGGCCAAAACCCAATCGCTTGAGCAAAAGTGCTCGATGTTAGTCGATTTCTCCTCTCGCTTTCCCAATTTTTACGCCAATGTTGCATACAACGTGCCTCTGTAAATGAATAATTCGAGCTCGTTATCTCAGAGCTGCTGCTGCTGCTGCTGCTGAATCTTTTTCTAATTAAATGAAGAAGATCACCGCCACTGCAATTTTAAAAATTGAAGCTTTTGAATCATCAAATCTAGAGTTTTTAAATCTACAAAACAAAATTGGAGCAAAATGAAAGAGAAAAACTGACCGCAAAAGCTTACAAGAGGTACGACAAATCATCATTTTGAGCCACCGTCCCAAAAGAAGGAGGCGATGTCTGGGTTTAATTAAGGTGTTAAGAAGCGTCTATGAATTTATTGGTGACTTATCACAAATATCGATCACTCGGAGGACGGAAAGGGGAAATAATACAAAGTTATTTTTCCGGAAGAGAATCTTAATTGTTTTCAAGCATTTTTGATCGGACGGTCTAGCGTCTCGGAGATGATGGCGTGTCCGTCAGATGAGGTAGTTTAAAGGTTTTCACGTATTTATGTAGGTCCCATTGTTGGTAAAATACGCCCATTTTGTAAACACAAACCAAATTGGTAATTTTTTATATATACCAAACCAAGAAACACTCACCCAATTTCGAACCTGATTTAATCTATATAAAGAAAATATTCTCATGTATATGCGAAAATGAACAGTCTGGTCTGATAGTCTGGTGAAAAAATCTTCGATGAAAATATCTCTATCACAAACAGTCTGGTCTGACATTATATCTATCTTTATACGACGTTTTCGAAAAGAATCGGAAATAAGGAACAAAGATGGTCAGTTAACTCCTACTAATTATTTTCTTTTTGGTACTATTTTTTAATAAAAACTACA